GGAGTCTCTGAGGAATCGCGATTGATCTAACTGGGGCATGTAGAAACGTAGACAGAGGAGAGGTACGAGTCTTCCTGATGGAAAGATCGCATGCGGCCCGTGGTTGAGCTCATGCAGTGCCCTGTCGTGAAGGTACCTTCTAGCCAGCATCCATACGTCGCTTCCGGCATATCATTGGGAATTTTGTTTCAGAGGGTTCTCGCAGCTCCTTTCACTGCTGGCGATTGTGTAGCTTCGGAACAATAGATTTCACCGCAAGAGAATTATTCCTTGCGAAGTAGCATTTCTTTTTCCTATTAGCAGTTTTTCTATTTCGAAGCAGTTCTTCGAAAGCTCTGCTTTCGCTACGGCTAAAGGTCTTCAACATCACCTTAGCAATCTCAGTTCAATGAAACTTAAGCATGCACTAGTAGGATATTCAAATCCTCTTGATTTGCGGCTCTATACTTCTTTCAGAAACCTGAACATCGTCGTCCACTTACTGAGGAGGAAAAGCAAGCGAAGCTGCGGGAGATGGCTGAAAATGCGGCATGGCGAGAAGCCGCACGTAGTTCTAATTTAAAACGTGCTCGTTTGACTGACGAGAAGGAAGAAGAAGAAGACATGAAAGACAAAGCGCCCAGCTTCATTAGGTTTGTTCGCTCGATATTTCCACATCATTCTCGGAACAAACTTTTGAAATCGTTATTTGAAGGAGCCAGCTGAATAGTGCTGCGAGTGATCTCACAGTTGAGCAGCGCTTGCAAAGCAACAAGAAATCTCTTCAACGTTCTCATGGATTTATGGAGAAAAAATTCACCTCGAAATGAGTACAATCGTCATATGATTCCACGCCTTACAGTGTTTTCTTATCTGTCAGTGTAAATATAATAAATTATTGGAAAATGATGACTAACGAATCGTACGTCGGTGTTTCTCCGACTTTTCCTACTGTACGATGGCGATGTCTATTTCCATTGTGAAGTGACTCATAGCAGCTTGTGATTCAATCGAAAAACAAACTAGCATTTGATCCAGAGTACATTACTCATACTGTAGTGTCGATCCCTGTAAAAATTCGTTAGGGATACAAAAGATGAATATTGGGCGCTGACCAAACATATTAGGGATGCGCCACGCACTCGACTTCTGGTCACCCGTAGTGGCATATTAGATCGATCTGGACACTGTGCAATGAGTTGCGGCGACCAACTTATTTATTTATTTATTTATTTATTTCTTTATTAAGAAGTCGCTCAATGTGGGGTCAAAGAGGGATTGGGGTGCGCCCTGAATGCAGGGGGGGTTTCGAAATCATAAACCGCACTCCGTTTGATGTTTAAGGTTGAGTCATTTATTAGTTAAAGTTCAGGATTGAAGTCAGCGCGTGCCTTATAGGCCCCTGCTTTCCTCTCGTGATTTTAGTCTCTCAATAAATGTAAACACTGGATCGCAATACATTCCGCATTGTAATCGCACATTGGCAGTCCAACGGATTGCTTAGAATCAGATACCTAAAAATTCTGTCTTTCCGGGGATATTACTTGCTTCAGAAAGAATTCTTCCACACATGAAGACATTTGTCCTATTCTCTCGACTCATAGTTTTTCAAAAAAACTTTTTTATGCTCGTATGGCAGGATCTTATTGTCTTTTCAATTTCTAAGTTCCGCGTCTAACCTACTTGGAGGTGTGAGAGGGGTGGTGGGGGGGGAAGGAACTAGTGGAACGGGTATTTTGTGTGCAATAGTTTATGAGCCTATCTATGTAATGTCAATTCCTCCCCTCATTCAAGCTATTCAACTCATTTTTTTGCAGAATTGAACTTTAGTTCAGATGCGGCCAACCATTTCGCTCTCGTTTTAGTTCTCTCCAATCCGCGCAAAGGCAATATTACGAATGACCACCTCTTTTAAAGCAACAATCCAGGAACGAATTCGCGGGTAAGGACACCTATAATGACGTTGCAGGTGAGAAGTTGGTCAATGGAGAAAGAAAAAGTAGAAAAAAACGTCGGGCAGGGGCTTAGACAGGGACTCCCCCTGCCGTTTAGGGAGACGTGTGTTGGACGAGTTGTCCGAACCTGCCCGTAGTACATGCGCTCCAATTGCAACTGCTGGCAAATAGCTGCATGCTTGCAAATACATAACTATTTGCCAGCAATCGAAATTGAAGCGCTTCAATTGCGTTCTTATGGGCGGACGCATAGTCGGTCGGACGACAGCAACGATCGCAAGTGTCGCACAGCATTGGATGCGTATCGATCGTCGGACTTGCCTGAGTATTCGACGATTAGATGCAGTTAGACAGTCAGACAGTTGCGACCGTTGCTGTCGGACGACCGACTATGCGTGTCCGCCATTGAACAAGTATTTACCCCTCCTGCCCGTTCTTTACAACCATGCATGTACACTTGTAGTCCAAGGGCATATACTACTGCTCCAGGCTTTGGGACAGAAAACCTTTAATATTTCTCCTGTCTCCCAAAGAATTCACCGCTTGAGTAAAATGCATATGTGTATGCATTTTTCTGTAGCTGTATATATGGTTCCAAAGCACTGATTACGCGAAATTAAAAAATTATAAAGGATAAAGGATAAAGCATTTGCCGTTGATCAATCCCTTTTTGGGATGCGGCACGCATTCTACTTCCATTTGTACATTCGTAGTGGCATTTGAATGCGATGTGGCCTATACAATGACTTGCGGGGGCCAGCCGATGTTCAAGTCAGTGTTTTTTATCCTCCCAGACAAGTCTGGTACCAATTAACCGACCCCGGAGGGATGGAAGGCTTGGTTGGCCCGGGCGACTCACGACCCAGGATTTGATCCCCGGACCGCTCGCGTGGTGAGCGCGCCACTTGTCACTACACCACTTCCGCCATAAGTAAAAATAAAAGAACTTAGTCTTTGAAAACAAATTTAAAGAACTCTTTCTTTCCCCTAGCCTGAGAGAAAGATAGGATACGGCTATTGCTACCCAGTGATTCCTTCATATCAGAGAGTCCCCGATGGATCTGGAAATAAGGTCCAAGCGGGTGCAACCATGATTGAGTTATAACGGAGCGTGATTGCGGTGTCATTAGTATGAAGGGTCTTCTACACCGCCAGATCTCATCACCTTTTCTTCGCCAACAAAAACATCTTGGATGTTATTTGTGAGTGTTTTCCAAATCTCTAGAAACCCAAACAAAACAATGCAATCTATCGTCAAAGTTTTTAAGTTTTATTTTGTCAGAAAGGTGGTATTGGACACGTACCACCATCCCTCATTTATTTGACGCGAAGGCGCTACGGTAGTCCTGTCATCTGGAAGTATGCACTGTACAAACTCACGAGGTGGACTTCTTATCCCGAACCCCGCCACCGGGATCTTTTGTGTTAGCCTGACAGTCTATTCTGATTATTATTACCGCTGAATATCTCCTTGCTAACGCTGAATACCACAGCACTGCAGTGACCACTAACTTTGTCCCTGTGAAAGCAGTGCTGGTGGACTTGCGCTCTTCCCTTGCAAGTTAGCCAGCTTTGCAAAGGCGAGCGCTAGAGAGCTAGCTGGCCGTTGGCTCTGCGGCCGCCCCCGCACGGCTGCGGTCAGCGGCGGTTGTGCGTCTCCGCGGATCGCACGCTGTTCTCGCACTCTTGCTAGCTGAATCGATAGGTCGAGGGGAACAGTTGGCCACCGATCTGGCAATCCTTTGCCCTTCGCTCGCTCGGAGTCCAACTAAAAAAGCGCAGTCCCAAAGATGTCGGAGCCATCTGTCTCCAAAATACTAATCACCCCGTTTTTTGTCCCACTTTTTCACCTGTTTTTCGCCTGAGGACCTCTATTTTCTCGCTGTTGTAGTCTTCGGAAACATTTTATGGGATTTTCTTTAGCTCACATATGGCTGAGTTGAGCCCTAGACATGCCAGTCTTATTCAAATTCTGTGTAACGGTTTAAATCTAGAGATTCCAACCCTCGGAAGCTCTCTATTAACTTATTTTATTCTTAAGTGCTATTTTTTTTACTTCAAGGACTACTCCAAATAAGAACCTAAAAAAAGGGAAAACATTTGATTTGCGTTTACAGTGCTGCTCAATTTCATAACTTTCTATTGTTTTTATTTGTAACATATCTGGTTTCTGAGTACTTGGCCTTCTACCGCGTATACCCAGCGATCCTTAATCGACAAATAATTTAATTATGGTAATTAATCGACTAATACTTGTTATCGCCAAGGCCTGAATCGATCAGAAGGCCATGTGAGTCAGCAAACATTTTTTCTAGCAGTTGAGTCATCGTCGTTATGCGCTCGAATTCATTGATATTATACCGTTAGTAAAATTAGCTCGACATCTCTCTATGCTGTTATTATATTCTCGCCCCTGCTGTTTGAGCCTTCTCTTTCAGTTAACTGTGTGCAGGCTCTGACGTGTCTTTTGGACCGCCACCATAATCAAGAAAGGATCATCTTTATGTTTTTATTTCTGCGAAATTGAATGTTTCTAATAGACTTTTTAGACATCATCGCATGCGGGAGTCATTTTGTCTGTTTGCACAGGTATTTCCATAACAAAGACCTAAGTGGGGTTGACTGGTTTTGGCGATAGCGCATTTGAGAGGGAAGGTAAAGAAAAGGCGGAAGCTGTTTGATATGTAGTAGCGAATTGTATGGCTAATTTTTGAGGCTTTCATATGCCCCTATACCGAAGCTCAGTGCCGCTTCATAGCAAATCAATGTCCTTTTTAGTTCTCGCTATTGTCTCCCTTTTGAGTCACTGCGCCTCAAACCCTTCCATCTTTGAAGCTTCTGCCAGCAATTTTTCTCAGCGCTTGCAAAAGTTAAAGGGCAACATACGGGAGAGAGAATCAATCTTTTTTCAGGGGCCGATTATTGCCCAGAGTTTTGAATGCGTTTCTGCATAATTAATATTCAGTTCAGTTAGGGTGGCGCATCTGCTTCAGGAAGCTGGCTGCATGATTACATTCACATTCCTACTTGTTCGAATGCTTTTATTAATAGATCTTTTGTCTTGAATCGAAATGGTGTCTTCTACATGACAATGAGAAGGTATTCGTGAATTTCCTAACACCATTCCTACCGCATTTGTTTGTGTCTTTGCTGCCTGTTCTAAACGCTTTGTCACCCTATTGTTAGCTAATTTATATTTGAGAAGGGGGAGTGAGTGGAAGTGCTATGGGAGGGTAAGTTTCTTCCAACTAAATAGATGCCTGTCTTTAGTTTTACATGAAAATTTCTGTCGAATGTAATTGACCCTCTTTTCCTTTTCTTTTTCTGCTTTATTGTCTTGCAGCTATCTATCTTGCTTTGTACTTTTCTGTTTCTTTTTCCTACTATCATCCATTCTTAATGCCATCTCTCTCGAATTCCTCGCATTCTTCTCGATTTCAATTCGCCATCGTCTTGAACAAGAAGATGATTGCTTATGTCGAGTGATTATTCTACTTTCTTCCTGTCTTTTCCGAACTTCATTGCAATCAGTTCTTCATCTTACTTCAAATATGCATCTTCTGCACACACATGCCGCCTCCTCCTAAATAATTATTCCTTACGTATTCTAACGGCATTAAAGCATTCTTTGTGTAATGAATTCTAACCGGTATCATAGACATTAAAAATGCTGATGAAGTTATATCTATAACTTGATGCGTTTCTAACCCTACTACCATTTGGATTTTGCAATTTTGATATGTTTCCGATTCATGAGGTTTCCAGGGGCATACGTTCTCTTGTTCGATTCTTTCGAAGTGTCTTTTGCAGACTCGTTCTTGATCATTCTAGCAAAGACGAAGAAAGGTGTGAATGTTGCTTTTAAGCGTTTGGCTTGCTCTCGTCTCTGCACAGGGCACATCATGCGTAAGCCTCCTGGATAGGGTCTTGAAGCAACGTTTGAGTTATTTGGAACACAATTGATATCCTCAGTTGTGAAAGAAAATATTGAGGAGCTTCTTTGTGTTCATTTGTTAGATTATCTGGTCTTAGGTCCAATCACTTTTTTAGTGTTGCTCATGCATTGTTCTCTTGTCTTTTTTCACTTTCTTCGATCTCTGTGAAAAGGTAAAACAGTGAAGAGGCCTGCTCTCAGGCCTTTACCGACTCTCCAGTCCCAGTTTGAATAAAAGTTGGCTACCTGCAAGTGCGTATGCGTCCTGCACGTTGCGATCTGTGCTGGAGAATTATGGAGCTTCTTAGGAAAGTAGTCAGATTTTTTCGCTACTGATCGCACCATGGGGCATGCGGTAGTCAGCTGCCAAGTAGAATCATACGTAAAATACGGCTGTCAACTTGTTCAATCCATTCGGTTGAGAACAAGATTTCTTTCGTTTTTGTTGGACTTTCGCCAGTTGTTGATACTTTTCGTTGACGATCAAGTAACTCCGCTATTAATTTGTACAGCATTTTATTTCAGGTAACTCCGTTGCAGGCGGTCAGCGGAAGGCAGATTTGGAGTGCCATTCGACTGTTTAATTCGGACCTGCACCAAAACCCCAAGGGCGATTTGCCGTGTGAGCTTCAAACCTCTTTTTTTGTTTCTGACTTTCTATTTGTATATGCATTATAGAGATGTGGTACACGTGAATTTTACTTACATGAAAAAAATGTTTCAGAGGATGCATCTGCTTGGACTTGGCCTATGCTTAGTAGTGGTAGTGTTCGGTGCTGACGTCAGTGACTGGAAAACTGGCGAAGGTGGTGATAATAATTTTTGTTCGGCTTTCCACTTTTTTCGAACAGCGTTGGGCATGCATGCTTCATAGGTCAGCCAGAGCCCAAATATTGTATGACACCAGCGCTTAAATAGATTGGACTGTTTTAGGTTTTAGTATTTAGGTTTAAGGTGATGTCCAGGTTCCACTCGCTTTTCGAGTATTTCCCTTGTGTTTTTATAGTTCATCCTTGAAATAAGCAGCGGCTAGGGGGTTGATTTATTCCTTTGCGATCGTATTTTGCTTCTCAAATTTTTTGGGCCCCTTGTAGCAGCCTTTTTCTTTTCAAGTTTTCTAAGAGTTACCATCTCAATACTTGGACTTCTTATTCGAAACCTCTCGATAGGTTAAACTTCCTTATTGACATTACAGCGAGCTTTGGCTAGTATTAAAATCACGTGGGTGTTCATTCGAGGGCGTTTGTTTGGCTCGTGGGCCTTATAAGAATCCCTATTGATTATAGCTAGACTAAAAAAGCAACTGCATGTCAAATCCTTAGAATTGTCTATATGATTCATCTGCAGTGTATTTATTTTCAGCATCTTTTTCTACTTACAATCAATAATTCTTTTTCAGTGACTGGTGAGGTAGTTGAAGGAAGAAAAGACTTTCCATGCTACTCGCTATCTCGTGACAATTACACATGTAGCGCCTGCATACAATTACACGATTCCTGTGCCTGGTGTGGAGCTCCTGTAAGACAATTTTTTACTCTTCCATATCAAAAAAATTTATTATTGAGTCAAGTCAATCTTGAAAGGAATTCTTGTGGTGTAGGTGGAGTGTTCTATTTGGCATGAATTCACGCAATGACGTTTAGCTTTTCGATGCTAAGAAACAGTACGCCAGATGTGACAATCGTGCTCGACTTCTGGAGCATGGATGTCCCAGCTCCTTCATTGAAGACCCACAAACAGTTCTCGAAGTGGAAAGGGTATCTAGCATGATTCTTTGAGATGATCTTATCATAATTGCAACTTTTTTTTCAAGTAATTCGCCATTTTTAAGGATGAACCTCTTTCCGATAAAGGAAAGGTTGAGAACGAAGACGATGCAGTTCAACTGAAGCCGCAGGAGATGTTTGTTGAGATACGGCCAAGTAAGTGAAAAGCTTTTCGATGAGTGAAAAGAGTGGGTATCTGTATTTTCCCATTTCTAGAGTCACGTGTGCGTTTTAACGTAACTTATCGCCAAGCCGTTGATTATCCAGTTGATCTCTATTATCTCATGGATTTGTCATACTCAATGAAGGATGACAAGCAGAAACTTTCTGAACTTGGAGATTTGCTTGGTACGATGTTATCATTGTGTTTTCTCTCCCAAGGCGTTCCCCATGATGGACTTCCTGACCATACAGAAATTTCCAGCCGTTCGCATGCGCAACATCACCAAGAACTTCCGTCTGGGTTTCGGCTCCTTCATCGACAAGAAACTTATGCCGTTCATTGATCCAAGGATCGAAAAGTATGCTTTTGTTTTTTTTTGTCTGTGGTGCCTCTGGCTAATCGTGGTTCTTTATTAGTCAGTGCTTTTATTTTTTTCTGTAAAAATCTGTGCTCTATCTTTGGTGCGACGAGAAAACATTCCTGCTAACTCACTAAATAATTTTCTCCGCTTGATATGCTTTTTACTATTGAAAGTGGATTCAGGCAAAAGTCTCCTTGTGCGGAGCCGTGTGCAGAACCTTACGGCTTCAAGCATCAGATGACTCTCACCACGAACACCGAAAAGTTCAAGGTTAGCCACATCGTTTAAAGAAAGCTTCCAGGAGTAATCTGAATAGGATGTTGTTTAGGCAGAGGTTGATAAAGCTGAAAAATCTCTGGTAACCTCGACGCTCCCGAGGGAGGATTCGACGCCGTAGTACAGGCTTTAGCCTGCAACGTGAGTTGGTTCAACTAATGACATTAATTTCTTGTATCTTGTACCGAATTTGCACATTTGCTTCAATTTTAGCAAAAAATTGGTTGGCGGGAGCGAGCTCGTAAAATTGCTTGTTTTCTCCACGGACGCTGGCTTCATTTCTGTGGTGATGCAGGTTGGAATTGATTTTTTTTTTGAAAACAGTAGTTGCATAAATTTATGCGGATTATTTTTCACGCTCGCAGGCCATGTGCGTTGACCTAATGATCGCGTGGAGTTGCATCTTGATCGGAAGGTACTACACGGAAACCCTCAAACAGGCTTGAATCCATTGTTTCCTTATTTGTCAATACCGCGTCGCTAGAAATCTTTGACACGATAGCTATTGCTTTGTCTCAACAATTCTTGGGAGGAAGTGTGCGAAAGCCATTACCTGTTAATCGAGCTCCATCCCAGGACTATCCCTCTATTGCTTTGCTTCATCAAATGATCAAGGAGCGCAAGGCTAACATCATTTTCGCCGTCACGAAAGGAAACCACGAGTTGTATTCTCAGGTATTGCTATCTATTATCATCGTTACCGTTTCATTTTCCTTCTGTAGTGGTCACGAAGCTGGCATCGAGTTTATAATTAATTAGTACTGGTCGTTGCATGGATACTCAATTGCCGCGTAAAACATCCAGGGAACGGTTCAAACCAGCTTGAGGCAAGGATGTCGTGCTCGGGGATTGATCATCCTTGCAAAATAACTTGTTTCCCGAACGTCCTGTGAAAACACGAGAGCCAGCAGCTATAAAGAACTTTGTAATTTTCTATTCTTCCGGTAAATGTAACAGCGTTGTCATAATAGTCACGGAGGATGATGACGGCATCTTTGAAGTAGCACTTTGTTCGGGTTTATAGCTTCTAAGTATTTGAAATTTCAGCTTTCGGAGTCGCTACCAGATGTCTCGTCTTCCGTGGGAATTCTCGAAACTGATTCGCGTAATATTGTCGATCTCATTGAGAAGGAATATTTAAAAATCAGCGAGAAGATCATAATGGTGGATAATGCCAATGCTAGCGATGGATTGAAGATTACTTATCGGAGCATGTGCCTCGAGTAAGAGCCCCCACTTGTTTTTTATGTGGACAAATTGTTTCATCCTTCCATTCACTTTTCAGCGGTACCACGCTCAAGGATACTAACGTATGTGAGGGCATCCATGTTGGTGATGAGGTGCAATTCGAAGTGACTTTGGAAGCTACCCATTGCGTGGAGAAGAGGGACTTTGTGCTACGCATTGGACCTTCTGGTCTGGATGAGACCCTCATCGTCAATGTGAAAGTGCTATGCGACTGTGACTGTGAAGCAGGAGGTGTGTTCGGCCACTGATAACTTTGAAGACTTTTTCTTTCTGTTCTATTTTCTGAGTCTCTATATTTTATTTTTTAAAGGATCGTATTGTCGAAAACACTGAAGATTGTCACGGTGGAGACATGGTATGCGGTGTCTGTCGCTGCAAAGGAGGAAACGTGGGCCGTTATTGCGAGTGTAACCGACCAGGCATGAGTACTGCAGCGCTGAATGAGAAGTGCAAAAGGTTGGTTCGATTTTCCAGCATGAAATTGATGAGATATTTCAGAGTTAATTCCATTAGGCATTTTACAGTTGAAGGGAATTTCTGACCAGATTGTATTATAGTTTCTTTCTTTTTTGTTCTCGTTACGTTTTTCAATGCTGTTGCAATTCCTGTTCTTCAATATACAATATCTTCTAAATTATATATACATGCTTACTGGAATGAGTGAATTAATTTTTTAGCATGGCTCGAATTGAAGTCATTTCAGATAGTTTTTTGATATTGAGCTTTGTAGGACTAACGAATCCGCTATCTGCGAGGGTAGAGGAGTTTGCAACTGTGGTCGCTGCGAGTGCAATCCTCGTCAGGTGAAACTTTAATCAAATTAATAGGGCTTCAATGCAACGGGCCTACTTGTGTCGTCACTTGGTACACTTGTAATCTCCAGCAGACTTATGATCATAATCATTGCAGAATCCTGAGGAACAGATTTCCGGAGAGTTTTGTGAGTGCGATAACTTCAATTGCCCCCGACACGATCGCAAAATCTGTGCAGAACATGGTGAATGCAATTGTGGCCAGTGTATTTGTGCTCCTGGATGGACAGGTTAGTATCACTTCTCGTTTGTGCCATATTCTTTTGTAGTGTTAACCATGAAACATTCACGATCTCAATCTAGGGCTTCAAGTTCCTCTTTTTTCTGAAAATAAATAAAGTGTTTCTTAGGTCGGGATCGCCCCCCAATTGTCCCATCAGCCAAGACTCCTGCATGTCTGCAAATGGAAAAATCTGCAACGGTAAAGGAGAATGTATCTGTGGTCGATGCCGCTGCTTCGACGGTCCAGATGGTAATCGATACTCGGGAGCTAAATGCGAGATTTGCCCTGTAGGTTTCTTTTTCGAGTTCACATATCTGGGCATTTCAATGTAATAACAAAAACTCAAATGATGTTTAACTGCAGACTTGCCCCACGAAATGTATTGAATACAAGCCATGCGTGATGTGCCAGCAATGGGGAACTGGTCCATATGATGAGGAGCGGTGCGGAGAGTGCCCATTCACAGTGATTCCTGTAGAGAAGCTTCCAGGTTTTGTGCTGCGATGTGTCTCTTTAGTGTCAAGTATCCTCTTATTGTTGTTGATCCTTTCAATATAATTCCACAAGGATTCGATTTTTAGAGCTCAACGACACAACGGCGTGCCAGTATGTTGATCCAGCTGATGATTGTACATCTCTATTATCTCATTATTATCAGATGAAGTACTGGACAAACGTACCTTTGGTTCGCGAACATAAAGGTATGTGCAGGCAGAATTTCTTTTGTTGAGGTTCAACTATTTACATCTCACTTTACATTTTCTATCGTTTATCATGTTTATTCCTTTGATCTGGTGCATATTTTAACTACGGAGCGACTATTGTCATAGTTCCCCGGAGTTGCATCTGTTCAGCTGTAGCAGCTAAGCAGGGGAAAGATAATATTTTAAAGTTCATCATCTGCTGCAAATGAATCGGTAGGTACCAGCCGCATCGTCACAATTTGCAGATGAGCACGCGATCATTGGACACTTCATACTGCACTTCATACCGCGCAATGGTTTGCTGCAGCACATGGGCCAGCTTCTTCCGTCTGGTCATATAAATAGGGAGATGAAATTGGCACATGGTTTTGGGCTATTCATCTCCAGGGGATTCCCGAACAGATTGTATGCGAGACATTTTTGAAAGTTTCTCCTCATGTGGTTGGAGGCATGTCTCTTTCAAAGGCATGCCCCAGGATCACATTTGGTGTGGCTTAAGCAAAAAAATATGCGAATGTATAGGTGCGAAATGGGCCGACAGTGAAGAAGAAAAAAGGAAAAGAATCCGTCGGAATCGCTTTAGGTTGGGGGCTCACATACCTTCCTAATCGGCTGTGCTAAGGGAATGAGAGACTAAGCGCGGAGAGGAGAGTATGAGGCGAGAGAGCGCTACAAATGAGAGGGCGCCAGACAACAGCCTGATAAGAGAAGAAAAACTCTGCAGCTTGGGCAGCTTACTTTGCTCTTGCAAGAACCACGCGTCTTTCGGTTTGGTTGCGTGCACCGGCGAACGCCACATTTGTATTGTCCTTCTAGGGTCTCGTACCTACAACCGAAATGGAAAGCGGCGTTCACACCATCTTTTCCTCTGGGTGTGTCCCTTTAACTAATGATTTTTGGTTCCTTTGGAATATTTAGTTAGCTAAGTCGATGCGCAGAGAGTTCACAGAGAGTTTAGACAACCTTGAAAGTACCAAGTCGAATGGTTCCAAACTTCTAATCTGTTGAGCATTGATTTACAACTGCATGCATTTCATTAACCTTACAGTTAATTTATATATTTACCTATTTCTTAGTTAATCTAATTTTAGGGAGACATTACATCAAATCAATTTGGTTCTGTATTTGATAAAAACGTTTACAGATTGTCCACCACCAGTTCCTGTGCTTGCAATAGTTTTGGGAGTAATTGCTGGCATAGTAATTCTCGGTATCATTCTTCTTCTCGTCTGGAAGCTACTCACGGTACTTCATGACCGAGCAGAATACGCCAAGTTCAACAACGAGCGACTCATGGCGAAGTGGGATACGGTGAGTACCATTTTGTTGTCGTGATTTTTTAATTCTGTCATCGTTGCTTTTTGTTTGCGGGGCATTTTTCTTCGGCATTGTCTGCCAAACCAATCAATGTATTCGTTTTCAGAACGAGAATCCCATCTACAAGCAAGCCACTACCACCTTCAGGAATCCAGTTTATGCTGGGAGCAAGAACAAAGGATTATAATTTCGTATTTGCAATACTGCCAATTTTCTCCCTTTCATATTTTCTAACTCTCATCACGTTCAGTCTATGTCCACTAGTTGCTCACCGTTGTATGCCTTTTTCTAATCAATTTGTTACCTTGGAGGCTTTCATTAAAACTTTTGACCATAACATTTCTACATTTTTTTTATCATTCATAGCCTTTATTTAATCTGCTTAAACGGTTATTTATTAGGATAACTTTGTCATGTCCTTTGTAACCTTTTATTCTCACGACCGTTGTAAGCGCCATTTCTTGCTTTGTTTAGTACAGCTGTTAAAGAAATTGATTTGTTGCTTGCATAGTTTGTGAGATTTGTGTGGAGTCCGCTTTTAATAACTCTAACAGTTGTATCACATTTGATGTGTTAAGGTGCTTTAAGCAAATTAGCCAAGATTTCACGAATTCAGAATCTGCTAATATGTTTCATTTTGTAACTTTTAATATGTACAGATAAACCAAGTCACTTGGCCATTCATTCATTCCTTTTTTAAGTGATAGAAATCTTTGTGGTTTCAACCAACTTTTACCTGGGATACGTTCAATGTACATTTCGGGGCCTGTTTGTGGCAGAACTCTCTGTGTTCGTGCGACGAGTATTGCTTGTATGGCTTCATGGGTGTTTCTAGTCCATTTCTGTCCGTCATTTCCTTCACCTTATATTTTCATTGTGGTTGAGGTTTAAGTAGTACTTAGGGTGTGGGAATCTTTCGCAGTCTCTCGAAATTGCTTGATCTGTTTTGTTTTGGATTCTTACCTGGGTGACAATATCGCTGCCCTTCTCCTTGATTCCTCCGTGTTTCTCATTTAGAGGAATGGAGCGGTACTAGGGTCTCTAAACTGTACCTGCCTTTCCTTAAAACCCTGGCATTGGTATCAATTTCGATGCATGCTTTCCTAAGTGAGCTTGCTAGGTTGGTCCATTTATTGTTGACCTGACATTTGACTGAATTATCATTTGAAATGCCCCTCGTGCCGAGGTTCAAGAGCTGCTGTTAGGTCAAACGAAGCGAGTTTCTGTCCTCCATCTCGGATTTGGGTTGTAGCCACACTTTTCAGTTTTGCAGCTTATGCTCCATTCACGTGGTTTCCTAGGATTTCCATTGGCAAAAAACTTTACAGCCAGAAACGTACTTCTGTCCTGGCAACCACAGACTAAGGCAGAACAGAGACGTAAGGAAAAATCACTATGCCCAACACACACGACGAACCGTGCCAATACACAAACTAAACCGTCTGATATAGCCCTTGAAGTCTTCGGAAGAGAGGTCAGTTCCTAAGAAGTGATCAACGCGCGCCTCCACGCTCGCACTCGAATACCCTCGCATTATGAACTAATAGATAATGAGTTGAACATAGTTATTAAGACTTTTTGAGGATTACGATGTAACACCATATTTTGAAGATTCAGCCGGGAAAAGGTTGGCACTTCTAAATGAGGAATGGGGGACGGATACACCAAAGCGTATTTCACAGGCGATTAGTACTGTTGTTTCATCGCAACCCCTTCCAACATTTTGTGCGAAGCGGTTTGTGTGTGGATGGGTGTAAGGGAGAGAGGGTGGCTGTACTCTTCGCCGAGGTGAAGGACTTCTTGTGACTCACAGGGACACTGTCGGGGCGGTGATAGTGGACCCCGCCTTTAACTCTTAACGCTTGCTCAGACAGAACACATTGCCTCATAACATTCACCGTCCGGGGGAGGCATGCCCACACTCCTTTACCCTCTCTAACTTCCCACTGTCTTTCTACTACTGCTTTATGCCCTCATAGTGTAGTATACTTGCAAGTCCCACACTTTAGTTCTTTTGGAAGAAGTATACCTATGTTTGTGAGATATACAGTCGTCTCAATTGGGCAATTTGGAATGTGCTATTCGATCTTACTCGGGGGCAGCAAGTCTTTATCTGACACGTGTGAGCTGCAGGCTAAGGGATTAGTGTCCTTTCTAGGTAGTTCGGTGCAAGCTCGAACGGTACTATTGGAACAGGGAGCCAGAAGAGGTGCTCATTAAGCGGTATGTTCAATTCTTGTATTAGTCGGATGTCTGACAAGCTTTATCCACTACCAAATTCTAGAAATGGCTTTGTCGCAGTCTCAGCGGATACGTGGAAGCTATTTGGTTTCATTTGACCACAAAGGTACTAAGCATTGTGCACTTGGCTCATTGCAGACACATCCAGTTACTCCCTAGTAGTTCACGAAATCTGTTAAAATTCGCTCGCCGGAACAAGCAGCTAATAACTTTTCATCTTTGTGGTTGACATTTTTCGAGGGCTCATCCGTTTTTCCACAGCGATCGTTGAAATTTTGTTTATTTATTTGGCCATTGTTTACAATTGAAGTACAGTAATATTACAATCAAGTGAACTTAACTGTCCAAACCTTTGTAAGTAGTCTATAGGTATAAGTCTGTCTACTAATCGAGTTTTTTTTTGGATAAATCTTTTGGAATGCTCCCAAAAGCAAGGTCAAAAGGCTCAAAAATGAGCTCTTCTTGGTTGCGGCCATACGCTCGGGTTCTTTACTCAGTGAGGAGGTCAAGCGGGGAAGGCATTTGTAGTTGTTAGATATATTCATACAGGTTTAGCGGTGAAGTTCTTTTTTTCGGTGCCAGAAAATCTTTAGTTGTGGGACTTTCATATTTAGCCTTGTCTCTTCCTCGCTGTTGTCGATATACTTCAACAAATACTCTCTCTCAACCTTCAAATAATTATATGTGTCTTAAAAGATAGTTTTTCCTCTCATACTTTGTCTGTGGCCCACTATATTTGCGATGAGAATAGTTATAGAATTGGATAATTTCATTCTACATTTTGAATATTATATCAGTAAAATTTGACATAATATGACAATGGTGACAGGCGGTGCTCTCGAAAATTATACTTTTTTAGGCAGGCTTACTTAAGTGTTCAACAAACTACATTACATTCAGCGGTTGTCTATTGAATACATTTCGACACTCGCATTATGACTCTTGCTTAATCGATCATTCATATTTATGGCTGATTATTTATACAATGTTACGTATAGGTAACGAATACCATATAGACTATGCATGATGCGATAGGTGTTGATCAGTAGTATCGTGGCTTAAATCTGATGGTGTGACGCCCTAGGGTCTACATTCATGTCACCTCTCAAATATGTAATCTGTTTGTCCATATGGAATTTTGGTCTAGAGATTATATCACCCACTGAGAGGCTACATTTGCCTTATATCTCTATTAGTGTTTATCCTCCGTGAGTTCATTTGCATTATTTGTAATAGTGTACGCCGTGATTTGTTGCTCATCAGTATCTTTCTTAGGGAGGCTTGATCAACTTGCTCTCGTTACTCGATGGCAATTGTTTTGTCAAGCATTTTCGCTTCCACAAGGTGGATTTTATTAATCTTTGTGTTCGCACTTCGCGATCGAACGATATACAGAGAGAGTCGATAGTTCACGCTGGGTTCAGTAGAAACTGAATATTTTTCTAATTTTTCGAACACGTAAATACGTGCGAGTGGGCTCTAAAGATTTTTGAGTTCTTCGCTATTCCTATTCAGAATGGTTAACTTCAGCGCCACGTTGCTCTCATAAAATCCCATCTACATTGTTTTCTACGATTGGATCGTACGTGTATGATTAACTATTTCATCACTCCTGAAACTACTTCTAGAATCTATCTGATACGTCGGCATTCACCACTTCTCTAATCCTGTGCAGTTGTAAAACTTCTTTTACGGACTACCACACGCGAGCCTCCGCCAAGTTTTACATACGGCAGTTAATTCCTTGGATCGAAACGTTTTTCCTCAGGACCGCACACATTCCTATTTCAGTCGCCGGCAAACATCTTGAATTCACTCTCGTTGGTCCGCAGGACGTGTAGCCCTATGGGGATCCCCACTTTAGGTGTGCGTAAGCCACATTTCGCCCCCGACCATTTCACCGCCGACTAACTTCGCAGTATTCGCAATCATGTGAAGGCAGCCTATACAGTTGGGTTCTAGAAGGAGCTCTTATCCACGTGTATGACAGCTGCCCGCGACTGAGCTCGCCTTCTAGCATTAGTGCGACCAAAAGCATCACACCTTCACTGTGAAGGAGTGGCTTCGCCAGCATGGCGCGCTTTCAACGAAAGGAACAATTCACACCAATGTCCCGATCGCCATCGAAACATTATGGGAAAGAGTAGGGATACCTTTGGTGGAAATTAGAACCAGGAATATGGGGGAGAAACTCGTCAAATTTCAAGAGAAGTGGAGGAAGCTGCCCTAGTAGACAGTGCATTCAATGACTGATTCCTTACTTAGGCCTTGTTAGTATTTCAGCGAACCCAGAAGATCATTAACAAAGTATTGGACCTGCCCAGTGTTATTCATCATGCGTAAGATTGTTTTGTTGAATTGTAAGCTTGCTAGAGTAATTTGAAACCTACTTGGAATTTGCTCATACGCGAGAATTTCTAGTGAAATGATTTTTTTCCATTCTTAATTCTTTCTCAATCCGAAACAAATATGCCGTTTAAGTGAAGTAGGACTATCTCTAAAACATATTAAAATTTGAATTGATTTGATTCAGCGGAAAAAAGTTACAGTCGAAAAACAATTTCGGCGAAGACTTTTGACCGCTACTGTATTAAATGAACGTTTTGCATGAAAACCTAGTGAGGTGGATAGCAGTAACAGCCTTGGAACTTCTGTGCTGAGGTTGGAGGAACGTGAAAGCTGGAGGATCGGTGATATTCATCCGCCTTCTATATGGAACTTAGTTTTATGGCTCAACAGAAAGGGAGTAACGAAGGCTCACGTTAGCCGCCAGTTCCCGACAGTGGGTAGTTTTTCCCAATTTATTTTTTTAAAACACACATCAGTATCGAACCTATGAGCTTAGTTTTAATACTTTACGACGAAGCCTGAATTCCCCGTGAGAGAAATTTTTCTTCTAGCTATTGTTTATTACTTGTGAGCATATAGGTATCATTATGGCGAAATTTGGAAGCTATTCGATCACAAAAAAGAAACTAAGAAGCTTTGAAAATTGGCCACCTTCTTAGTTTTTAAGCTTATCGTAATCGAAACAATTCCAAATTTCAAGTTATGCTCGAGATCACAAATTATGAATTAATAGTATGTTGTGCCAACCACACTATAGTGTAATGCCAATGATAATTTTGGGACTTTAGAGAGATGAGTCCCACTTCAAGCTAATTTTAATGAAAAAGTGCATTAATGGGCCGGTTGCGGGGACCAGCGCCGATTCATTGTTGCGCTTGTACACAAATACTTGTAATATTAACAGCAACACACCATGAAATGGCAGGTTTAGCTCACAATTAGGAAGGGGAAAGTTGACTAAAGCAACCTCTAGCAGGATTATAAGAGCTATGCTTCCCAAGGGCAAGGAAACATTTGAATTTGATGGTGGCAGATGCCACCGCCAGGGCCGAAAGGGCTAAAATCAGATCCGAAGCATGGCAAAGTCGCCTTAGTACCGCGCTGGTGTTTGGTTCAGTAGTGTCTAAGTTATACTTGATGCCTTATTGTTCCTTTTCCCGGATAATCTTGTTTCCATAGCCGCTTTTCTCGATGGCATCAACTCAAAACTGAACATGAAATTGTAGTGTTTGTGCAGGAGCCAGTCGGGGCGGTTTTTCCTAAATATCGGTAGTCTCAATTTTTTAGGTCTTATGATGTTCCAGTGTCATGATTGGTGATGGAAATTGGAATCATTGATGCATTGGGTATTATGCTACGTGCTCCGATAGCGATCTTTTTCCATTTTCCCGGTAACGGCATGCATAGCTGGCTGTCACGAGACTCGACGACACAAACATAAGTCATTCTTTTTTAACTCTCTCTCCTCCTTGTCATGTGCTCGTCCTCTTTTCCTGTGTAACAACCCTTCCTAAGTCATAATCTTCGTAATAAGCACATCGTGGGAAGTCGTCAATAAGGTCATCACCTTATCCATTGTCGTTCTTCGATTTGCGTTGGATCGATCACCGGCACCGCCCTCGTTCGCCGGAAAACTGTCATCAGTTCAGCTGTGCCGCTTACAAACGTCACTTCTTGGGTTTGCTACCTTTTGCTGGTATTTGTTGATACTTTTTGTTTTCTTCGGCTTTTAGTAGTTTGGATCGCGCTAGGCTGAATATGCTGTATTAGTCTGCTTCATTCGCATTACAGCATACTGCAAAATCACGAAGCACTCTTAAAGTCAGGAATGATCACGATTACATAGAGATCTTCTACTGTGGAATAAATGAGTACATATCGCGCACCAATTAGGATTGCTTTACGGAATATCATCTCTATGACGTCCTAGGTATCTGAAGTATTTTTTAGGACTTGTAATTGAAATTGCTAGGTTACAATCGCAGTAAGATGACAGATTACCCTAACAAATCTATCTCCATGTTTAGCCTTCTGGGTGTGAGCAGTGCTGGTTTGGTCATCGTAAAGCCCCTGAATTATGGAAAACATAGACACATTCTCTGCGTAAGAACGCTCCGTACTGGTTCCATTTGTCGCGCCATTATAAAAATAACCATCATGCAAGTACGCTGGCGTAGGATCATTTTCTTGGCAAGTGTAGAATCAGGAGAGTTTAAGTGATCGAGGAAAGATATCTAATCTCAAACGCAGTAGCGTGTCCGCTCACGATTATGTCTTTCGGGAAATGCTCAGTTTTCTCGAAACGGTTTTTTGCATGGCATAGGGGTACGTGTATGGAACCAAAACTGCAGTTCAATTTTCCTAATTGGGCCATCTGAATGCCAAAAAGTTGTGATGAACCGACCCGAGGTTCGAACCTTCGCGGTGACAATTTTTTGCAATTTGTGTTGCCGTTTCGAAATTCGCGATAAATGGCGTCCGCGTCAAAATGGGATGCATATCTAGAATCGGACCATCAGCAACCTTTATATGTAGAATTTGACTAAAAAACTGGTGAAAACGGCAGTTCCTTGAAAATTTCTTTTCTTCGCTCCTTTTTTGGTATTCAGAGGGTCGCTTAGGGAAAGTGAACTACAGTCCTTTGTTCTATGCACGCACTCCTGAATCATGCAAAGATCCGTTCCGAGAGAGCTGAAAGACCTCCCTAGTTGTGTAAACTCTAGGGGCAATCGTTCACTAATTTGGTCTCTGGTTTAGTTTCATGTGCTTGCGCCCACCCTTTTAGGTAAATCAGTAAGACCTGCTATAGTAACGGGCTTAGATTCAGTAAGCCTTCAGAACAAAATCCAAGTTTACCTAAGCTTGGCTTGATTGGTCAGCCTCTCCGGCGAGGAGAATAGATTTGTGATTCTTCAACTAGTTTTTGGTTAATGAGTGGTTGGCCTCGATGGTCCCTATGGTGCTGATCACTACTGACAGGTATACGTACCATAGCTTTCAGCACTCACACGTATAACGTGTTGAGCCGGTTAGCCGATATCGGCAATGACCGCGAGGCTGAAAGCTTTAGCAATGAATTTTGACTTGTTTTGTTTGTTAACTGCTGTTTTAACGCCGCAGTTGTGTGACTGAACTGTCGGCGTCAAACAGGCAGTTAACTACTGACAGGATCTGATCATCGTCTGGCGTCTTGGGAGTATTTTTTGTGAGCCTGCAGTTCCAGTCATACGAGCTGGTTTTGATCATAGAGGCTGCTGTAGAAAAGACTTTTTTAGAACATGGACGATTTCTAAATTTATGGGTTCCATGGTAATATTTTTCAATAGAACCATCTTCCTGGCGTGTACTTTGAACTCGAGTTGTTTGGAGAGCTAGCTGGCAGTATCGAGCCAACGGATTATTTCTGCTCTTTGGCCTGTTTCCTTTGCATCTGGTCAATGTTCGTTTTCCTCCAATCTTCTATCTAGCGCAGCTGTCTACCGTTTACGAGACTGCGGATGTTTTCCATGCTGTAAGGGAGAGTTAAATCAACTAAATTTAAGTGCTCAATCATAGTTTTTCATTTCAATTTTTTCGTTAGGATATTGCAGCTGAGATTTCCATTGTTAGGATAACGCCTAAATATTACCCCTGATTTATACCTACGTGCATTTCCTCTCATTATGAACTCTGAGGGGGTTGTCTTCAACGCTGAACAGCTGACTCATGATAAGTATTTACCTCGTCTCGGGGCAGCTTTCTCCTGAAAAATCGGCTTTGCTGCTAGCAAAAAAGTTTCCTGCATCAAACCTCTGCCGGAGGAGGTCTAGTCACGTTTTCCGATGGGTCGTCTGGAAGTGAGCTTTTTTGTATTTATTGTGTTCCACAGCATTTGTTTAACAATCGGACTAGCGAAATAGCTCTGTTTGCCTTTCTTTTTTGATAGCTATTTCATCAAGGTGGCGCAAATTCGCCTATTAGCTTCCTCTATTCGCAAAATGGTTTCGTCAACAGAATTGTCACCGAAAGAAAAAGCCAAAAAATTGGTGAGCTGATCTTCTTTCTTTGATACTTTCTATGCTTTTCTTTACAAAGCTCCTACTTGTTTCATTGGTTTCAGGATTATGATCGCTTTATAATTTGACTTATTCACAGGCTGCCTTCACCTGTGGAGAAAAGAATATTGCAAGCGGTTGCCGATTAGGAGTTGGTTCTGGTTCAACTGTCAAGTACGTCACTTCCTTTGTTTTCTTTCTGGTTTCACTTTTTTATTTTTTGAATCACTATCCATGTTCATTTCTATCATTCAAGGTATTTGGTTGAATATCTGGAAGGTGCAGTGAAGGCAGGAAAGCTGCAAAACATTGTCTGTGTGCCCACGAGTTTTCTGGCGAGTTTTTTTTATAACCAATGTCAATTCTGTAATCATGCTTCCCCCGCTACCAATCGATAGGAGCCCTTCAGATTATATGTATTCCATTTTTTTATGCCTCTCCCAATTGCAGTGCCGCTTGCCTATTACATGTGCTGGTTAAGCTTCAGTAAGGTTGCCTTGTCAGTGTGTCTTTCATGATTAGATATCCCTTCTATACCAAAGCGGGTAATTTGATGTTGAGCTGGGTCTAAATGTTCAGCCTAGAAACACACTTTTGGGGTTACATCATTTCACCATAATTATTGTTGCCAAGGTCTGATTATACAGTAGAGGTTTTTAGACGAAAAAGTGGCTTCTGGATGCAGGTTTGGCTGTAACCGATCTCCATGGCACGCCTGAACTTGATGTCTGTATCGATGGAGCCGATGAGGTACTTCAATCTGTAATTCTTTTTATTAGATGATTTATAGTTTACACCGTTTTACTTCTACTTTTTCTGAGCATCTGAATATCACCCCACCAGCCCAATCAATAGGGAGATCGAGGTCAAATTCCTTATACATTGTCAGGGAGCTCATTAAGTGTATTTCTTGGTATATATGATGATGCTATGAGAATATCATTAGAATATCTGATATCTCTGTCTTCTTCATATCGTTCTTAAAAACCACATGAGCGTTATTTAGCAACAATTTGATGTGCTATATGTAGGAAGATCCCGCCGCCCAATTTTGTAGCCGCAGTTTGGGGAATTTTCCACGGTGGTCATCTGTGAAATAGGAACATTGTAAAAAAAAAAACTCATGGATAACTCTGACTTCTTCAATGAGCTTTGCTCCCTTTGTATACCATGATTCATTTATGCATTTCTCTAATACTCTACTCTGTTTCGTGAGGGCTAGTGGATAACCTTCGGTAAGCAAGTGGCTGCCGTCACTACAAAACCAGTATGTCGTGATCCGAAGCGCAATGATCTGGACCAGGGCGCTGTATAGATAGTGCCACTAAAGCTTCTGCTTGTCCAGAATTAACTTGATAAATTTGACATCTGCTTTGATTATTTGACCCGTTTGGAGGTTGTCTATTTTTTTTCTTTGGCATTTCTTTGAGTAATTGAGGCTCGCAATGAGGCGCTTTCGAACTTTGATCACTTAGGAATATTCTTTCGCAATAGTCAGTAAGCAGTTGCCTTGTGCTCAGCATAGGTACATCTTCGTTGAATGACGGATAGGTTTCTTGATGACAATATCTTGAAACCATCACTTGTTTGTTTGAAGTTAATTTGATGGAGCCATCTATAAATAGTCTTTTTGACAGTCCGCTCTTCTCGAAATTCACGAAACATTCTGCGCGAGCATATCTGCAAGCGGTACTAAATTTCTTGGACAGTAACTTGATGTTTGATGCAATCATTCCCATTTATTAACGAAGCAGTGTCTACGTTCTTGATCAATTCTCTATTTGTCTTGTATTATAGTTAGTAATTTCTGTGGAGTAATGCACTCGGTAACATATTCAGATCGATGCCAACTTCACATGTATCAAAGGTGGTGGCGGCTGCCTTGCTAGGGAAAAAATTGTCCAGCATGCCGCTCACAAATTCTTCGTGAGTTTTTCTTCGATTAAGATACCACTATTAAATGTAATATACACACCGAAATACTGGCTGAAAGCATAGATTATTATTTTGAAAGTGCTGGAGAGCTGTTTTGTATTCATATGTTCATTTCAGGTCATTGCTGATAGCTCAAAGGAGTCAGTAAATCTAGGAGACCACTTTGGCCACATACCTATTGAAGTAAGTTTTAGTAATGCATTTTATTGAGTTAGGTATTTTTTTCTGAAAATCAGAGCATGATAGTTCGTTACTACTCTATTGGCGGCAGTATGTGGTTCGTCTTTTGCCATACCTCTTCTTTGAATGCTGTTCTTTTTTGCTTCTCATTTTTGGGGAGGGGAGGTGGGTGGGAGAGTCAAAATTAGGGACGTCCGACGGATCGTTTCGTTTTTGTGAATGGGGCAAGTCTACCCAGGTTTCGCTTTATTTCGAATTTCTAGTCTGGTGGAACTTTAAGGATGAGATTTTAAATTGTTATGTTCTTCTGTGCCACACGAGGTTGATAAATGGAACCTTTTATTAAGTGGCCTGACGTTTCGACCTTCTCGTCTTCTTCAGAGGCCTGAAGATAGCTCGAAGCTTTTTGATCTTGTAATCTACCCGACCAAGCACCTCCCCACTTCTAGCGTTTCCGACGTCGTGTTGAGAAACACCTCGAAAACCAACGATACGATAACGAATCCACTAGTTTTAAATAAAAGGTTCCATTTCATCAACCTACCCCCGCCTCGTGTGGCACAGAAGAACAAACAATTTCACCCGATCATGCCCGCCAGGTTCGCAACAAGGGATACAGCGTGGAACTTTAGGAGCGAGGATTTTTATTTTATCAACGTCTGGAAACAAAACTCCCAGGCTGAACCTTACTTTTTCAATTTTGAGGTGCTACCGTTTGCTGCTCCGGCTGTGCTGCGCTCACTGCCGCGAACGGAAGGTGGTACTGCACAGATGAGAATGGCGGCAAACAAATGCGGGCCTGTGATAACAGACAACAACAACTACATCATTGATTGGGCGTTCGAGAAGAATAAGCCGCGTGATTGGAAAGAAGTTCAATTGAGACTCGCTAACACTCCAGGTAAGTTTTTGTTTGTTAACTGCTGTTTTTGGCCGCAGTTCGCCTTGCGAATGTTTCACAAGAATGCTGGGTTGTGAACAAAACTTTCGCCCCAGGCGGGACTAGAACCCGCACCTCTCGCTTTCCGGGCAAGTGCGCTACCAGTTACGCTACCGGGGCACCATTTCATCCCCGATATCGGCTAACCGGCTCAACACGTTATACGTGTGAGTGCTGAAAGCTATGGTACGTATACCATGAAAAGCTGAGTTGGAATGAAATGGTGCCCCGGTAGCGTAACTGGTAGCGCACTTGCCCGGAAAGCGAGAGGTGCGGGTTCTAGTCCCGCCTGGGGCGAAAGTTTTGTTCACAACCCAGCATTCTTGTGAAACTATTCTCAAGGTAAGACCGAAATAACTTCGTATATAAATAATTACTAAATATTAAAGAGGGGAATGCAGTACTGTTCTGCACAGAAATTTTCATGGTGATATAAAGCCTTCATGCTGATACTGTGTGGTTTCAATGAAGGACATTTGGGGTGGAGGTGGGGGGAGGGGGTGGGTCGTTGGCTCGTTTCCTGGTTCCTCATCCTCGGAAAGGGCTTGAACGAAGTATGCGGATGAGTTCAAGGGTGTGGGTCATGGTTCCTCCTGGTTTATCGTCCCCGAATAGAGCCTGGGCAAAGGAAAGACAAAAGGTTAAGCTTTGACTGCTCTTTTTTTGAATTGCGCCACGGGATCAAGTCGAGTTCGTAATCATGGTGGTATTTTCGTGCGATTTAGTTGAGCAATGGCTGTGGGCAGTTAATATGTAAGTCAGTCCCAGACGAGTCTGGTACCGATTAGCCAACCCTTAAGGGGTAGAAAACCTGGTTGGGCTGGGGGTATGATGTGGCATTGATCACGGTCCACGCGTGCAGTAGAGATGTTTTCTTGCTGACATTGCTATAAGTTTGCCAAAGTAATGAATAAGCAAATTTTCGGCTCTTGCACAATTATACCGTTCTAGGTATCGTGGAAACAGGTCTATTCATCGGTGTGGTAGACAAAGTATATTTCGCCTATCCCGATGGAAATGTCAAAGAAGTTGACGCCAGAAAACACTAACAACTACGAAGTTCTTATGCACATCGTTATTTTAGTTGTTTTGTAGGAGTTAGTTCTTCTTTAGTGACTCCTTGTTGATAGCGCAGCGCTATGCAGGGACTTGCTCGTGCCTTACCCAGAGAAATCACTGCTCTATTCTATGTCTCTTTCTACAGTGAGGCCTTCGTTTTATTGTTACACCGGTTGTGGACGTGGTACATATCTCTACAGCTGTGAACATCCTTGATCATTTCACTTTCCTATCATTCCGCAATGCTTTTCTGTGTTTAAATTTATGCCTTATTGAGAATTTTTACTCTAGATGTTCAATTTTCGTATATTTCTAGAAGATGTGATATGTCTTAATTGTGGTACTGACTAAAGCAAATTGAAACAGAAATGTCTGTTACGTTGTTTTCGTGATGAGAGGTTCTCTCATTCAAAAACGAGAAAAGCGTCGGGTGCAGATCATACACCACAAGTGACGACGGCCTCCAAGTAAATGTGGTTAGTAGTGATTCATAGTGATAGCTGACTTTTGGTAAATGATAACTGTAATTAGTGACAACTGATAGAATACAACAGTGCCATAGATTGCCACCATGCTCACGGGCAAGGGAAACATTTATTGTGGGAGGCAGTCGGTTACTCTATGGCGTACTGGTCTGGCACCGAGCGCTCTTCTCGTCTTGTGAAAGAGAGTATATGGTCGCTAAAGAAAGCGTGGTGCTTATGGTTGAGTTTTGCCACCGTAATGACGATGCTTAAGAGTACGCTCACACATGCGGTGAAATGTGGTTACTGCTGAAATAAAATGGGGTCTCATCCGGTAAGAGGGGGCATTGCGGTGCACGGTCTGCTCTAATGCCAATTTGGCTCAAGGAGTCCTTTAAAGTTACGAGCTGCTATCAGCTTTTTTCCTATGTTATTTCTTCAGGTGTTTTGTGTAATGTATGTATTCTTGTACTAGATGACATTAACGTCTACGAGAAGTGAAATTCACCTAGTTAGCAGGTCAGGACTAAGCCAGGAGGGGGAGGAAGTCCCCCGGGGAAAGCCAAGATTGCTCACGGATCCGGGGACTCCTTCCCTTCTAGGGCTTAGTCCTGAACGTCTACAATAAAATAATGTGCTTTCCATGGTTTGAAATGCTCTAGATCGCTATGCCCCCCCCCTTACTGGATGGAGACCCCAAAACTGGGAGATAGCGAGGGGGATAAAAGCGCTTGGAAACACAAAATAGTTTTTTGTGCGTTGTCCTCTGTCGCTACATGTTGGTGATGTTCATGCTCTATACATGTAGTGTGCACCTAGAGTGCATATAAAATAAAAAAAAATAAATAAATAAATAAAAACCTTGCTTCCTTGAATGATAGACATGCTTATTGGGCAGATAGAGGCAAAACGTCTAGCAGGTACTGTGGGTGAAGGCGAGAGAACGGACGTCAGGGAAAAGAGAGAATGGCAGATTAGCGGAGACGCAGACAGCTGTGTTGCGTGCCGTGTTCAGCTACGGTCCTACCAATCCCCTACCTTTGCGTTGTGGTCCACTTGCCAGGGAAGGCATTCAAGTCCACATGAACACTTTGAATTCAGGACTTACAAGGGAAGGATCCCAGGTCGAAGTGGCCATTCGTAATGAAACCTATACTCACATACGTGTTTTCGGACGCTGATTTCAAATCCGTCCTCCAAATTTGCGGAACGATTCTCTGAACAGAGTTACAAAGGTTTCAAATGAATGGCTGTTAGAAGAGACACCCTCAGCCCACTGCGGCAGCGGCGGCCTGGCAGAGTGGTAGTGGGGGCGCATGTTGGTGGTGAGACTATGGTTCGGATCCTGGTCATGATGAAGTTTTTGCATTTTGTAATTTTGCTTGTTTTCAAGCTGAAAGACCATTCAGTGTTGAAATTACGCCATGGACAACGCTTTCAAGTGTTTGCAACGTGTTTGCATGCTCCTTTCAAGTACGACCTAATTTCTTTATGAAGTTTTCGATCAATTATTGTACAGGGTAGGGTATGGGGTACTGCCACGTCACAGAAAGTGACGTCATTGTCAGTGACAGAGACCAATCTATAAACGGCAAAGATACCAACAACAGAACACGTTGCAAACACTTGACAGCGTTGTACATGGCGTAATTTCAACACTGAATGGTCTTTCAGCTTGAAAACAAGCAAAATTACAAAATGCAAAACTTCATCATGACCAGGATCCGAACCATAGTCTCACCACCAACATGCGCCCCCACTACCACTCTGCCAGGCCGCCGCTGCCGGCAGTGGGCTGAGGGTGTCTCTTCTAACAGCCATTCATTTGAAACCTTTGTAACTCTGTTCAGAGAATCGTTCCGCAAATTTGGAGGACGGATTTGAAATCAGCGTCCGAAAACACGTAGGTGAGTATAGGTTTCATTACGAATGGCCACTTCGACCTGGGATCCTTCCCTTGTTAGATACATATATCGGATAGAGCTTCAGGGTGCTAACTTAGTTGGGGGGGGGCCACGCGGCGGCGCGGCAGTCTGCTCGCCTGGCATGTTCGGAAATCCGTGGGCCAGGGGGAGTGTAGCCAGTCTAGGGGGGTGGGGGGTGGGGCAGTCACTTGACATGCGTGAAAAGCTGGAATGTTCGAGTTTACACTGTCTCGCTCGAGAGAGCCCAGGTGAGCAGACTGCCGCGCCGCCGCGTGGCCCCCCCCAACTAAGTTAGCACCGAGCTTCAAACGCTGATTACAAATATGGAAACTAAAACTGCAAAATGAACCTGCCAAGGAAGTTGTGAGCAGTCAAAGTTGGCTGGAAGTAAAGCGTTACATATGAACCGTGCTAGCTCCGGCTTTCAGAGTCGCCGTGGAGTAGTGGTAGTGCTCTCGCTCTCCAGCCGGTAGGTCATAAGTTCTCCTCCTGTTGGAGTGCAAATTTTGAGAGCACTACCACTACTCCACGGCGACTTTGAATGCCCGGACGCTAGCACGGTTCATATGTAACGCTTTACTTCCAGTCGACTTTGACTGCTCACGACTTCCTTGACAGGGTCATTTTGCAATTTTAAGAGCGCAGACATGACGTGCCCATCTTGTGCTCTATGGTTACTAAAGAAGAGGCATCTGAACACTCGGAGCAAAGTTCGATTCACTTTAACCATGCACACTGCGTGAGGTCAGCTGTTGATTCTCTGAACATGTGCCTTATACAAAAACTGAACGGCTCATTTCTCAGAAGTATATAATCCGATACTTTTCCACATTGACGACAGCGCCTCTTTTTGCTTTTGTAGCCGCGTGGGACGAGCTTGACGATAGCACACGTTTCTACTTTTTTGGTCGCTTGGGACGGGCGCGGTTTTGCGAGCGCGATCGCTGTGATTCGGTGTTGGATTATGCCGTCCCACGAGGCGCGTTTCTTGATCAACTTCAACAACAACTCATCAATTCTATTATCGGGAGAGTAGAACAGTTTTCATGAGATTTGCTCCACATTTCTTGAGGAAGCTGTAGATCAATCAACATAAGTTTTGCTCGATTCTGGTGGTATAAAAAAGGAGTTTCTCTATTCTTCTCTGCCTTTGTGTAGAGCTGAGTTTTTATTTTTATTTGTTTATTTATTTATGCACCCAAATGACGCGCTCTTACACACGGGTAGGTGAGGTAAACACTAAATCAACATTGAATAAATACTAAATAAACAAAGAGGCAAGAGGATCGAAGTCGTACCATCTAACCGCCATCATAGTGGGAAAAAAGTCCACAATTTAGAAGTAATATAGCTGAAACAGGGACAGAGAAAAGCCCGGACCACCATGAGTGGAAAATAGCAGCTTGCCTGAACTTCGAGACACGAGTATACCGACAACCCTCGTGGAACCGATAAGCGCCGAATTCCAAGCCTTGTGAGACCCGATCATGGAGAGGGAATGCTCATAGGGAAAGGGGTAAGAAGATTCAGATAAAACTCAGTCTAAAATCTCAATAATTTTCCGCCGAAGGGGAAAGGGTTCATCACTGATCATTGCAACTTCAATGAAAGGCTGCTAGTCCCCTCGAGAGGCTCTAGAGGTAATTCTATACGCCAGAAAGAAAATCAAACAACAATAGAAGCAAAAAACAAAAGATCCGAAATAGGAACAGACACTACACCTTAGATAGTACAGTGAAGAATAGCAAAACCTCAAGCTACATAGAAGCTATACTACTAGATGTTATCAACAAATATCACCAACGCCAATCTTTTGGAGAAGATCGATATTTTTCTCAGAGCCACCAAGTGCCGACCAAGCACCTCTCTTCCGCCGCCGCGCACTTCCCGGTGCCACGCGCTCACCCAGGGGCTGTTTTTTTATTTTTTTTTTTTTTTTTTGGTTTTTTTCTTTTTTGCGGAAACATTGAGTCCCTCTATCTCCCTTCTCGTATTTCTTGGCGAGGCGGGCCTTTCCATAATTTTCTAAATGGTCCCTTCCTCACTTTCGTGCATATGTGTCGTGTTCTAAAATAAGCGGCCCAATATGAACCGCTCCTAAGGGAGAACTTGCACGTGCTGATTTTTGGCCTTTTTCGCGTGCAAATCATCTCTGCGCTGTCACGCTGGGTCATGTGTGCCAGCGGCGCGCGAACGGAGCAGAATAGAGAAAATACCCTTTTTAAGGCCTATTGTGGATATTCTAAAACGCTCAGCTACATACTTGAGCTGGGGCGTTCCCCCACCGCGTCCGTGAAGCCCGTAGTCTGAAACTTCTCTTGCTTCGGCATTTCTTCCAATTCTTTGCGGTTAATGTTGGATGCCATTTGTGGAAAGCGATTCTATCATCCCCACAACTCAGACTGTCAACCTCGTCAAAACAAAAACATAATGGGTAACATCGTCAACAACGGGAATGTGCAGAACAACGGCTCCCTTCTTCATTTTTGGGATCGGCGTTTGAGTGTCAAGGAGTATGGCATCCAGGACGAATCCAGTAATGGAAAAGGTCCTGCGGAATTCACGATCAAACTTTGGTTGATCCTGGTAGAAGAAGTCAATCGCCTTGCGCAATCTATAAGTGGCAATGACCGAGTGATGAAAGTGAGTCGGTAGTTTCGAGCCGGATGCAAGTCAAAATATCAATACTATACATTGAAGACCAGTGCATATAAAGTTGATCTCCTTTTCCCAATACATCGTTTCATTAAAGAGAGGAATTTCACGATTAGAATGAAGGTCGAAGAAAGGGAAACTGACCTAGTTGAGGGACCCACGGACCTCCTGAGGGTGCGAACTGACGCGCAATTCGCATGGAAAAATTTGACCTCGGCGACCTATCATGCCTCAAAGCTGGCGGGTCCGGCGATCTCCGCCCACCGATCATCTGATCACTCGCCGTAGTTCAATACGTGGCGAGTGATTAGATAGCTGAGAGAGCGTAGTGTTGAAGAGGGCACAGCGATGAGAGTCGCATCAATGCTCGAATCAACGGGCAAGGAAGGGGTACCATTTCTCGGGTTCTGGGCCGTTTCTCATGGTTCTTCCTTCTTCGTGTACCACTCACCATCCCTAGGTTAATTTGAAATGGGTTGCTTTTTCATCGTGAATTCGTCCTTTAAAAGATCGATTACGGTAGATTGGTGAATCTGTCTAAACTTTGAGAAAGATTTATATTTGTTATATCAGGTTTTTCCATTAACGAAGTCAGGGCCTGACAGACTCTTCAGGGTAATCTTCAACAATTTTCCTAACCGTCTCCCTCCTGCCGCGCTAAATGTCATTACTTACCAGCACGACCTGGCATGCGAGAGGCGACTCATCACAACCAAGGTAAGGCCCCGCTCTAGTTTAGCATCGGATTGCTGGTCTTTCCTTCTTTGGCGATACCGCTCATTCAATTTCATGAGAAATATGTGGTCAAAGAAAGGTGCAGGAGTTAGGCGATACTTTCAAACTTTGAGGCAAGCACACTGCGCACGGAATCAACCCAAGAGGCGCGCTTCATACTCTGCCTGTGAATTTGAGCGATTCTCACAGTGCTGAAACAGCGGCTTTATGGTGTGGACGCGATAGTAGTATTTCGCCACTATATTTAAACCTTAAAAGTGTCACTGTTCAACTGCAAGCGGAGCAGTAAGCATATTGCCAAGTGAGTTTGTTGGCCGTATTCGTTTTCTTTATTACTATTGTCTTTTAAATTGGCCACCCCCCATTCTCTTCCGTCCTAACCTCTTCTACACAGACCCCCCCTTTTCATCCAATAGGTAACAGAGTATCCCTGGACATGATCCCTCATCTTTTTTATATGTTGTGTTTCAGTTCGAATTCCAATCCGAATATCCCCGGGAGCGGCTTCCGACGAGCGTTGCAATGACAAAATAGTGGATGAATGTGTCAGATGAAACGAAAGAAGAAGTTCGTTGGTCTTTCGGGAAGATCAATGCCTTCACGTGTATGATTTCACTCCTATGCGGAACCCTTCACGTCATGTTTCCTCCCGAGCTAGAAGAATGATGGATTTTGGTTTGCAAAGCGACAACAGAACTACGAATAGAATCTCGCGAACGAGGTCAGGGTTATATAAATATAATAGTTATATGTTCAATTGTTGTACTTTTGTTATTTATTGCAGTTTTTTTGAATAGGTTCCTAGAGCTTCAGCCTTGCCTCAGCCTTTTCAACAGCCGGGAAGTCTCAGAAAAGCTGCGATTTCTGAGCTTCTGTATATCCTCTGACCCCCTATCGACAAAGATTTTTATGACAGAGCTCTCAACAAATAAGCACCTCGATCAAGGTTGAAGAGTTCATTGCACAAATTCCGTGCATAACTGGCAAGTGGTAGTGAAAATGAGAACATGCTTTTACAACTAATGGATAAGTATCACAGACGCAAGGCAGTTTCACAGATATGTAATAAATACAAGGAAGCACCAAGTAAGCAGCTATGTGGGTTAATTCACTTTTTTCGATTTTGCTGGCTGTCGAAAGCAAGCGTGACACGCGGGTGAGCTCGGTTAATGGGATGGGAAGAAGAAGAAGAAGGGTTTGGGTCATATAATCCACTCCGTACAAAATGATGGAACTTTGACCATGCTTTATTAGGACGCATCTTTATCATCTACTGATGTGTATTTGAGGATGAACAGCCAATATATGTCAAGAAACGACCTATAGAGGCGCCTATTATGAAGTTAACCTTAGAGTGCCGCGTCTGAACTGGAGTTCTGTGCGGTAAAGGTGCCGAGAAGGGCGCAGGACCACCCGGTAAAAGAGGCCCTGGGACTCGAGGCACAGGGCAAGCGACAAGGAGCTACCTTGAATAAGAGGTGGAGAGACGTCATCAATAAGAATCCCACTGAAATTGAGGTTTTGGTGGAATAAAAAATGCGGTGCTGGGGGCATCCTCCAGGACTAAGCCTAGAAGGGGCAGGAATATCAGAGAGGATGAAATGGCTGACGCACCTGGAGTTCCTTCTCCCCGCCTAAGGCATAATCCCGTTTTTAATAAAAGGAACATGTTTTACGCGATTTTAAATGCATTGTCACCACAGTGCCCCTGTATCTTGCGATAGCGCCAAAAATGCTTCGCATAGGAAAGACGGGCGATGGCTAGCAAAAGCAGCTTGCCCTGCGCTGGCGTAAAATTGACCCTTAGGATGGACTCTGAAGGAAATGGTTTCTTAATGATCCTTAGTAAGAGAAACACGCCATTCAGAGACAGCCAGCAGTATCATAGTTCGAGTTTGGGATATGAGAAATGGGACGACTAGCTAGCGTGGCAAAATTGTGGAAGGAATAAATAACAATTATATAATCTATGTGGGCGTTAATTCTATACATTCTCACTGAATACTTAATGGGGAAGAGATTCGACTCAGTGGGTTTAAAGGTCTGCCTTTATAAAGTCTTTGACTTCTTAGATTTTGCGATGTAGGCTTTGTAGAAGAACTGAAGGAACAGCACAGCAAACGTGACATAGATGATGAAGGCCAAATAGAGGTTGGCCATTGATTGCTGGCATCTGGAAAGAATTTTCATCAATACAGTACCAAGTCGCAAGGTTACTGTAATATAGCAGGACTTACGGCAGATTGGACTCGGTTTAATTCGATAGACAATATAGGAGACAGCTACTCCAGCCAACATCTGAGCGGTTTGAATAGTTGTGACACCCATCGAGACCTAAAATTGTTGATAGGTGAAATATTGCCAATGGGGGTTCTAAAAAGCCGATGGTCACCAGAATCCGACGCTTGGGGGCATTTGGTAGTCTAGAGTTCTTGTCTTGGTCCTGTCCTGGTTTCTTTTCTTTTTTGGACTATCCACTGCTTGCGGGTTCCTACTTCTCCAGATTGCGGAGCTGTGTCGAATCAGTAACTTTAGACGCCGGTTAGTGAAAGGTGGTTAAGAAGCGCAGTGATATTGTCCGGCGAAATGCCTATTTGGAGCTATTCGCAAGATACAGGGGCATACTCTGGGATTTTCTCCGAAGAGGCAGGAACTTCGGGGAAATGGAAAATTGCTTATGTACCCTCGAATCTCTTATCCTCGCACTTAATGCTTAGTGCGGTTTTAGACAAAAAGAAGTAGTTTGTCCGCGGTCTTGAATGCATTGCCACCACAATGTGCCTCATCTAGCACCTGCATATTTCTTCGTGCCTTGGGCATAGCGTTTCGGGTCACTGAGCGTGCAGTCGGAAGAGACGCAGACATTGTAAGATGCATACTCGCTCAGGGTCGAGGTGAGTGAAATGGACGTCGTTTGGACCAAGTCCCACCCGGAAAAATATCGTGCGCGGAATATCCGCAAGTGCAGGGTAGCCAAACAGGAGGCCGGTCCCAATGGCATGAAGGCAGGTATCGGACGCTGAATTTCGTTGTGATAGTTGTTGTTGGTGAAGTGTAGACGTAGTATTGGCTACATTCCTGTTCAATTAAAGGACGAATTCACGATGAAAAAGCAACCCATTTCAAATTAACCTAGGGATGGTGAGTGGTACACGAAAGAAGGAAGAACCATGAGAAACGGCCCAGAACCCGAGAAATGGTACCCCTTCCTTGCCCGTTGATTCGAGCATTGATGCGACTCTCATCGCTGTGCCCTCTTCAACACTACGCTCTCTCAGCTATCTAATCACTCGCCACGTATTGAACTACGGCGAGTGATCAGATGATCGGTGGGCGGAGATCGCCGGACCCGCCAGCTTTGAGGCATGATAGGTCGCCGAGGTCAAATTTTTCCATGCGAATTGCGCGTCAGTTCGCACCCTCAGGAGGTCCGTGGGTCCCTCAACTAGGTCAGTTTCCCTTTCTTCGACCTTCATTCTAATCGTGAATTCCTCCTTTAATTGAACGAAATCACCTACAGTACGCGCTGCGCCTCGTCCGCTGAATCTGCGTCATTGCCGCGCGACGGGCTCCTGCCGGGTAGCCGCGAGTACTCTCCCTCTCTTCTAAAATTCGTTGGGCGGTCCGGCCACACTGCTTCAACCAGGAAGGCCATGTCAGATTGGGGGGCCGGGCGCAGTATCAATCTACAAATGCTATACTTTGCGTGATGGTTCGCAACCCTTGGAGGGCCCGCCTGTCTCTCACTAGGTAATTCCTATTCTCGAGCTTCGTTCTTATTCGTTGAACCCTGGTCTTTGATCCGTCACCTACGCAATCGGTGATAAGAAAGAATGACCCAACAAGAACAAAACCCAAGCAACGACGAAACCTCAATCTTGTGGCCAAGTCCCAGCACAGCGCACTTTACTACGGTATTTCTGCACCGGGCTAATGGTACCTAAATGACTAAATGTTTCAAAATCACGCATAGTTAAGAACATACCCATTTTGGTACACGTATTCCGTAAGCTGTGAAGGTGTAGTAAGTGTACATGACTGAATGAGCGAGGAAGTTCATGGCTATGAAAGCTCGACCTGGTGCCGCATGTTCTGCACCTGAAAACACCACAAATTGAATCATGCACCGCGTATAATGTGCTGGAGGAGTTGACTTTTTTTTTTTGTATTTCCCGATTTGAGGGCAGCACTAAATCGGCCCCAATGAAAAAAAAAAAGCTGAAGCTATTGTTTTTGAGTGACCTCATACTGAAGCTGGCATGGCATATGTTGTGCATAAGTCATGGAGGTCGTCTAGACAATCCCAGCCATTAGCCATTGCCTATCGCGCGGCGATTTCGGAGACGATATTGGCTCTATTTACCGTATGCAAACAACAGTTGGAGAAGTTGTGCAAAAAAATTTGGAACCGTTGAATCTGTGGTGACCACAATGCCAACGTTACGGTTGAAACGATTAACGCGATCACTGTAGAGTTAAAGTGCATTGAAAAGCTGTAATGTATAGTTTGTTTTCATTTATTTTTGTTTATTTTTCTGTGAACTTATTACATTATGTAGTTTGGAGTTAGTGACATGGTTTTAAAGTTTTCTTTAAATGGTTAAATTTTAAAGAAGCTCGGTGAAAATGCGCGTTCCAAGGACAGCTTGCTGCGCGTCCGGTATCGAGGCGTTCGTATAATCAGTGAGTATAAATATGATATAATAATCATGCAATAAGAACACATTGTTCACGTTCCACCCCATCCTTCATAAACCTCTGAAAAACTTGTGGAATTTCGAAAAGAAAAATGTGGACGCTATTCCGTTACTGTTGAAAAGAGACATCCAGACGCAGAAAAAGTGACAGCCAGACGCAGAAGAAATTTCCGCAAATGCGCAAGTGGAACTGGAAGCGGTCGAACGACTACAAATGCAGAAGATTCGAAAAAAACTGCAGCGTCTCGCTTGCTTTTAACCGGGAGAGGCTGACAACCTCCATTAAGTGAGCAGTTGAAAGATATAGGTGAGATCGATAAATGCCTGAGATCTGGTTACAAATATGAAAGCTCGAAACTGCTAAGTAGACGTAACCAAAAAGTTAGCTATCAAATTTTCCAGGTTTCGCCTCCTCAGATGTCAAAAATTTCGCTGAATCTAGCCGAAGCTTCTAAAGCTGTTGCCGGATGGCTTCACCTGCCAAGAAGTAGATGTCATACTTATAAATCGGGAACATTACGGTAATCCTGGAAAAGGACGGCTTTTCCCAAATACTATCATACCAACGCCATTCAACGCACAGCCAACTATTGACCATCCATGACTCCTTGCAGGTTCTCTGTAGCAGCCCTGATTCAACATTTGTAACTTGCGCGTCCAACGCTCTTCGAATTCACCGCTAGGCCTCATTTCGAGTTGAACATACCAGCAGTAAGAAAGGTATATGCCTGGAGATCCTGGTCACAGTAGAGCAGTGATAGCGCCGCCACTCCTGCAGTTAAGGCCCCATATCCAATTGTGTGAGCATCTGTTCACATCTCAGTGTTGCATAAGTATTGCATAATAGATTTGATACTCTTTCTCTTTATTTCTGGTCATTCCCTTTTGTGTGCTTTCTCGAGAGTTTCTTAAATGTTGAAAATTCCAAACAAATGAACGATAAGCCGCTTCCTTGCAATTAGCCGTCATGGCGTTGTATATGAAACGGTTCAAAGCCACAAGTTCTGGTTGAAAATTGGTGTGTTCTTTGTTCGAAAATTTGATAGAAATTGCAATGAAGAAATAGTCAATGAGAGAGAGGGAAGCCCCATTTGAAAAAACACTAATTTTCCTTGTGAAGACCGGCTGCGTTATGATGGAGGAGACACACCCGAGCGTGGAGGAGAGGGAGAGGGAAAACGCGGCGAGAGAGCACGGGGCATGTGAGAGGGCGCAGCCGCCACGTGATGATAAGGATGGCAGCACGGCAGCGCACAAAGCAAGGCTTTAGCGCCGCTGCCCCTGAGCTTTTACTGGTCAAAGTGTCGCGCCTCATGCGCTTGGAGAACACTTTTTTCCACACTCTAGGAGGCGGGCTTTTTTGGCACCCACTCCCGACGATTTAGCGTGAATGCAGGCTAATAAATTGTTTATTAAACCTACGATCGGTATCCCCTGATCCAAAGTCAGACAAAACGAGCGCCGAGTCGTGGCAAAGTTAAAGACTATTTACGTCCTCAGACCTGGCTCAAAGAAAGAGAACTCTGCCGAACCAGATTTGGAGAGGACACTAAAGTACACTGCGTGGTGTCCTTGAGACGTTAATTTTCACCAGGAGTTTTTTGACTCTGTTACAGCTGGCCTACAATTGTCCTCCACAGTATGTACAGTGCAGACATGGTGAGAGGAAACAGCTAGTTCTTTGACTCACAACATCAAAAGGTCGTCCGCACGTTTCCCGAACCGGCTATTCCAGCTAAAGGCAGACATTTTCTAGTGGTGATGAGAACGATTTCAATTTAACTCAAGAGATCGTAAAAAATGATGGCTCAGGAATGTCTCTTACTGAACTGTCACCCTTTCACTGGATAGGATCGCTTGGTGGCTACCTTGATTTCCTTTTATGTGGTATGGCTGGGAAAGCGGAAAAGTTCAGAGGTCTCAGTGGCTGTCTGTAATGGGGAGCGTGCAACAGAATCGTCCGGGACTGGCGCCGTCGCGCGCGGCCACTTGCGCGGCGCCGTGACGCGGCACTTTTTCGATGGGCGCGGCAACAGTAGACTTTGTCGATTGGAGCGACAGATTTGCTGCCGTCCACATTAAGCCTTTTGGCGCTGGCCCGTCAACTTTAACGTTTTATTTTCTTCTTATTTTTAGGCCCGCTTCATTGCTGACGGCTCGTGCGGTCTTAAGGGATCAAGATCAATAGTTTAATTGAAATTTCAGGTACGCGAGGGCGGAGGAGACGGCGCCCGTGGTGTGAATAAATTCCGAGTTGGTCAGCATACTCCTGTAATACAAGTTTCGTTATGGAATCATTCAAAAACCAAGACAGCGACTCAGCCGCATTAACTGATTAAGCACATTCCCCTACCGGCTTCAGATGGCTTCCGCCGGCCATGTTATGAGCCTAAAATGTTAAAGAGGGGAGTCGGGGTAGCCCCTGTGAGAAATCGAATGACGCTCAACTCGTCCACTACAGTCGCGACTCAAGCGCGGTGGCTATTTACGATTCTGTTCAACACGCCTTTTTTGCAGGTCTGACATTTTGTATTACCTGAGTGCACTGTATAAATGAGTACAGCGGCATGGTGGTAGTAATGCAGAAATATGAGTGGTTTCTTCCGAAGGACGATGAACATAGTGTCTCCTAATTCGACGATCTGAAAAGTGTGCTTTACTAATTTTGAATTGATTTTTTTTATCAATTATCCGCCCTAGGGCTGTGCACAGCTTTCTTAGATCTAATGTATCTGATGAGCGCTTCGCTGAAGCAAACAATGTGTATTATTGCTTTCATAATAACTAGGTATTGCATATATTGAACTCCCCCTCCTCCCTCCCCCGACTCCTCGTCCGTGAAGTACACGTTCTCTTGATAGGCTGTCAAACCGACGAAGTGAATTCAGACAAAGTGCTGCAGTCCTGTTCGTGCTAATAGGACCTCCTCGGAAATTGTTAGTTTTGGTTGGAAAGGGTTCCCATTGTCTTACTATCAGTGCCAGCTTTGAAACTCCTTCCCAGCTCCCCAAAATCTTCCTAGCTCCCCAAAATTTATTCCTCCTCCCACACTTGGCTCATACTCTTCATATTTCCATATAGCACCGACACTAATCGAGTGAATCGAACCTTGGAAATAGCGAAAAGTAAACTCCAGAAGGCGGCGACGTCGTGTGGATGACAAGAGAAGCAAAGCGAGCGGTATATACCGTACTTGTAAAGCGATTGAAGAAAGTCCTGTAAAATCATTTTTTTTAGCGAAATGGTAGCATGAGAGATGGGTCCCCCCAACAGGCCCACCGCGCGGCTTCACCAAAAACAGATCTCACAGCAATTTTTGAACATTACTCTGAAAAGCTGTTTTCTCTGAATCCTTCTTTCTTCTCTTTTGTTTCTCATGGAGGTGTCCCCTAACAGGCCCACCGCGCGGCAAAGCAAGAGAGGCAGACGC